GATACGTGAAGAAGTGCACATCAGTGTATTGTGAGCTATGTCTCATCTCTGCAGCTTCTATGTCCCATTGCTCTAGACATCACACTTGCCTCATATGATCATATGCCTCACATGATAAGCTCTTTTGTGGATGGTTCCTTGAGGGTCAGGACTAGGTTTCATTCACTGGGCCTGATTCAGGGCCTGGCCAATGGCCGGCACTCAAGGCTTGGTTGTTGAATTGAAACCTAGTTGTTGGCCTGCAGGGGGCTGTTGAAGGGCAGGGTGGGTGTGGTGGGTGCATCTGCGCTTAGGCTGGGATACAGTGCACAGCCCACTAGAAGGACTCTTAGAGGCCCTCTCCCCAAATCCCAGACCATGAGGTTAAGTGAGCAGACTAGCTTGCACAGACATCCAGTGACAGGGCAAACTTTGGACTCTGAGCTCCTAATTCCCAATTTCTGTCCTTGTTTGCTCTTGTTTGTATTTTTTTCTATTACCTTTAAAAAATATTAAGTGAAGTGAAACTGTGATAGTGAAACAGAGAGCTCAGAAATAAACCCATGCATATATGATCAATTAATTTATGACAGAGGAGGCAAGAATATACAATGGGGAAAGGACAGTCTCCTCAATAAATGGTGTTGGGAAAATTGGACAGCTACATGCAAAAGAATGAAACTGGACCCCAGTCTTACACAATACACAAATATCAACTCAAAAATATTTAGATCCTTGATAACTATAAAGGAACATATTAACATATATGTAAGTTTAAGCAACATGATATTATGAACATCCTTGAATCCATTATTCTGTGCAAGACTTAGACGAATAGCAACTTTCGTCTTCCCCTAGTGGCTTCTTGCCTTATAACTATTCTTCTCACTCTTCTGAATTTTGTATTTAACATTCTCTTGTCTTAGCTAATAAGAAAGAAAGCCTTGCTATATTGGTTTAAAATACAGACATACACACACACACGCACACTGTGCGTGTGTGTGTGTGTGTGTGTATCTAAATAACAGTTCAGGATTGCTGGGTTTTGAGCATCCTAGGTAGTCCCCTTGGACTTGCTTCCCCTCCCCCACCATCATTCTCTTTCTGGGGCCACTCATGTTGTTGTACGTAGCTGTGGACCATCCATGTTTTCTTCATTCTCTTGTGCTATTTCCCGTTTGGGACCCTCAGGATTTGGGATGACCCCACCCCCACCCCCCAAGCCAAGGGCTCCAGTTAACTCTAATTTTAACTTTTCACAAGCTGTCATTAAGCTTTCCCATGTTGCTTGGCTTATGGGAAGCTTTTAGTCACATTTTCTAATTTAATGCTAGTTAGACATCCTTAGCCTTAGAAATTTGTAGTGAATATTTCCTATTAAGATTGTTGGGATTAATGCAAAATACAAGTTAGACCATTTTGCAGTAGTATTTTAGTGCTTTCAACTCAATCCAGTCAGAGGACTGTCCAGAAGGAAGCCTTCATGCTACCGGCACCCTTGGAGGGTGCGGCCGTGGTCAGCATATTGGGGTTGGGGGCATGTGAACAGGCTCCTTGGAAGGGTTAAAATAGTGTCTTTTCATGTTGATCTTTCTGGTCAAGTTATGACTTTCCTTTTCCTAGACTATAATACACACTCAGTTTCTAGTTAATCCCTTCTGAACATCCCACTGTGTTCTGGATTAAAGATTCAGTGTAGAATTACTTTATTGCTGGCGGGAATGGAAAATGGGACTGCCATTATGTATGCCTCCATATCGTTTTCCATGGTGGCTACACCAATTTACATTCCCACCAGAAGTGTAGGAGAGTCCCTTTTTCTCCACATCTTCACCAACATTTCTTGTTTCTGGTCTTTTTGGTGATGGCCATTCTGACATGTGTGGGGTGTTGTATCATTGTGGTTTTGATTTTCGTTTCTCTGATGTTTGGCGGTGTTGAGCATCTTTTCATGTGCCTGTTGGCTATCTGTGTATCTTCTTGGGGGACTCTTGTTTTTTTTTTCTGATATTTAGTTGTAAAGCTAATTATATATTTTGAATATTTTGAATATTAAAAAAAAGATTCAGTCAAACTACTTAAAAGGTGTAAACTAATGGGCCAAAGACCTTAACAGACCTTAACAGACATCTCACCAAAGAAGATGTACAGATGGCAAATAAACACATGAAAAGACACTCAACATTACATGACGAGAGAAATACAAATTAAAATGAGGTGCCATTACACATCTATTAGAATGAATGAAATCCAGAATTCTGTTATCGCCAAAAGCTGAAAGGCAGGTGGTGCAACAGTAACTCTGGTGGGATGCAAAATGGCACAGCCACTTCCAAAGATGGTTTCGCAGTTTCTTACAAAACGAAGCATACTCCTACCACACAATCCAGCAATCACGCTCCTTGGTGTTTACCCAGAGTAGCTGAAAACTAATGTCCAGGAACTTCCCTGGTGGTCAGTGGCTAAGACTCCACGCTCCCAATGCAGGACGTCTGGGTTCGATCCCTGGTCAGGGAACTAGATCCCACATGCCGTAACTAAGAGTTCGCATGCTGCAATTAAGACCTGGTGCAGAGGAACGAAGGATGGGAGGGAGGGAGGGAGGGAGGGAGGGAGGAAGGAGGAAAACTAATGTCCACACAAAAAGATTTCTGGGTTGGGTCGAGTGGGGCAAACGTTATAAAATACTTACATTTTAAAAATTAAAACACGTGTTTGCACACATACCCAGAAAACACTCCCAGTCAAATGTGTCCTACTGCGTATTAAACAATTCACAGGTATTAATCAGATCATTCCAACAAGCCTGTGAAGTAGACACTATTCCCATTTTATGGATTATTGACCTTAAAAATAAAACAGCCAGTTATTTTACCCGTAAAATGGATTTATTCAGCAATTGCAGAGAATTGCAATTCAGGGATGGAATAGCAAAGACTATAGGCAAGTCCAGAAAACAAAGGAGAGGAACATTATAGAGAAAAATGAAGTTGGGGTGGGGGGGTTGCTTAGAAGGAATGTCCATCAGAGGAAGGCGAGAGTTCAGGGTGGTGATGGCTTCCCATTGCCTGGGCTCGCTGCTGGATAAGGAGAAATCTTTCCTCCTGCTGGCAATACAAGGTCCCTCTCTTCCTGTTGGGATGTGTAATTGATGCCTAGTGCTGGTGCTCGAGAGCTCCCCCTTCTGGCCTCCTGACTCCATTTTAAATGTGGTTTCCTTTATTCGGTTTCACAGGATAAATAGAGGTTCCTGGAGGTTAAGAAATTTGCCCAAGGTCCTAAGTTAATGAATGGCAGAACAGAGCACTGAATATAAGTCTCTGTAGTGTCAAATCAGTTTATCTGTGTTCTTGACCCTAGAAGTGATGTTAAAATGTCTCCCCATGTCAGCTGGCCACACCCATGTCCCCGTGGCCTTGGCTGGCATAGAAGGCACGGCACAAGTAGGGAATACCTGGTTGCTAGAATGTTTCACTAAGGAAAACAAGTGCTCTAAGGTTTCTGGAGTGTGTGTGTGTTTCTTTGCAGGGTATAGCCAGTTTGTTGTGTGTCCCAGAATAAACTGTCACCGATAACCATCTTGAGCAGGGGACAGGTTTTTTGTTTTTGTTTTCTTTTCCAAAAACAGCCTGCTGTATATGCCACATCGATTACCTGGGAGTGAAACTGCTTCCAGTTAACTTATGTGTTATGTGTTACGTCTCTGGTGTATACAAAGTGGGTCCTTGCGTCCCACAGCCTGTTTGTGGTTGATGTACCTTGAAGTGCAGATGGTTGGATTCAAAGGTTATATTTCATTACCGCCAAATGTGGCATTTCCAGGATTACCTTGTACACTTTATAAAGATTCTTAAGCGTGTTGATGTAGGGCTTTCAAAAATCCTGAGATTGGTCTGAGCAGAGCAGATTCAGGATACAAATCAGGCAGTGCCTCTGGTTAGTCGTGTTGGGGGCTCCATGCGCCTTACTTGCACTTCTTAGCGTTGCGTGCAGTGGTCTTCATCATTTTCCTGGGCCCACCTTTCCCACCTTATTTCTCGTTGCTCCTCTCGAGCCTCTGGCCTTCCTCCTGTGTTACAGCCCACTGTGCACTGAATCAGTACTCTGCACCCTGCCAGACGCTCTACCGGTCTCACCCCGCTCAGTTCCTTCCTTCCTCTCTCCATTACTTACTGCATGTTTGCGGTGACTGGCACGTCACGTGGTGGCCCTCGGTAAATATCTGCTGCGTGAGTATCAAACGGAGAGATTATCGTGAGACGAGGGCAGTCTATCCTCCCGCGCCCCTGCCGCAGCACCGACCCGTTTTACGAGTCTATCCTCCCGCGCCCCTGCGGCAGCACCGACCCGATTTACGAGTCTATCCTCCCGCGCCCCTGCCGCAGCACCGACCCGATTTACGCACTTGTTGTTCACTCTGCCAGCGAGAGCGAGCTCTCGACTGTAGGTGTTTCAGGTCTTGGTCTGTTTTGCCGGGGCCTGGCACCTGGGAGGATGGGCCCAGCCTCAGTAGAATGACTGAAGCACTTAAACGTTTGTGCGCATCTTGCCGCTTGTTCTTTGCCTGGCTTTGTCCCTGGCTTGGAGCTCATCAGGGAACCTGGTCAGGTGACATTTCCTGACGTTCATGTCCAGGTTACAGCAAAGAACAGTGCCTAACCTGCTGCTCGAGCCTGATCACTGCAGGACCAGTTGGGAGTTAATACGTCTGCCGGTCTGGAGAGCTGCTGAAGGAAGTTGATGAGGCTTTGAGACGTGGACTGAGCAAGGCAGCTTTCCAAACTCTCCAGCCCACTTCCACATGCTGAACTGTTTTTTGGATGCCTCCACTTGAGACAGACACTGCCATCCGGGAGGGACTGGCTAGTCTCCCCCCAGGAGCTGTGCCAGAGGGCCCACTGCAGACCTCTTTGGTCTCAGGGTACCTGGGCAAGCTGCAGCTGCCAGAATGCTTTTGAAAGGGGGGTTTTGGTGTTTCTACTGGCAAAGTGACCCAGACACTCCTGTTTCTCCTTTGACAGAGTGATCAGCAGCTGGACTGTGCCTTGGACTTGATGAGGCGCCTGCCTCCACAGCAGATCGAGAAAAACCTCAGCGACCTGATAGACCTGGTATGTGCCTTGTTCGTATGGTTTTCTTTGGGGCTGGGGCTCGTACTAGATTGCTTTTGTGTACCCTTTTCCACACACAATTCAGATCACACAAGAAACCTCCTCTGTCTCCAACTAGACACCACCAGTGGGTTATGAGATTCCTCCAGAGAGGAGATGGGTTTCCTATGATTGTCATTCTTTCAGTGCCACCTATGTAAATCGAGCCCAAGACAGGAGCTCTAAAGTGGATACTGCCTGTTCCTTTCCCCCAGCTGCCTTCTTTTCACTCTTAGAAGCTTACCTTTAGGCCTAGGGAAGAAGAGGCCCCACAAATCCAGCAGGTGTTCAGCAGTGCCTGGTTCCAGGCTTTACTAGTCTCTTTGCCATTGTGGAAGTTTCTCCAGCCAAAGCAGTACAAAAATCTAGCCTCTCAAATGCTTTGGTGGCTTCACTTCTATTTTGAAATGGCATAAAACACAAAAATGGGCTTTTAAAGAGCTCATCACATCTACTTTTTAAAATGTTTATTTGTTTATTCATGCATATATATGGAATGATTGGTCTCAAAATGATGCCAGAGATTAACTGGCACCATAATATTACTTGAAAATGTTCAGAGTATTCAAAAACACCTATAAAGCTATGGTAAATAATGAAAAGAAGTAAAATAAAATCAGGCCCCAAGAGCCAGCCGAGTTAGTAGATCATTTGGCCGGTGAGTTCTGGCTCCGGGTCAGAACCTGAGCCCTCCCAGGTCGTCCTCTGTTCTTTTCACTGTGTTCCCCATCTTCTTGGGTGTAATTATCAATTGCCAAGCATTGCTCATCAACTAGATGTCTTTTAAAATAGTAGCTTGAAAACTTGTTCATATGCTGTGTGATACATTTAGTTCTGTTGTATGCATTCAGAACAGTTTTACTAGGGGAAAACGTGACTGCAGGAGACTCATGTCATTCACAGATAACTCTCCCCGCAGCAGTCTGCAAGGTCCGTTGTGCAACTATTTGTGTATTTATAGAGACACAGACTCCCAATGAGAGGCAGCTCTTTGAACAGAGTCGAGCCTGTGGATGGAGTTGTCAACTTGCTTGCTTTTCCATGTAATAATTCAGGAAATGAGGTGGAGGAGGTTTCTCAAGGTACATAGCCCTGATGAGAAAGCCAGCTACAGGTGCTTGTGATGGAAGCACCAAAGCTACCTGCCCAGCCGTTTTAGATGACTGTCAAAGAACAGAATGCTGAATTGTGATGCGAGGGAACCCACCATATGCCCGGAATGGTGTGTGTGTGTGGGGGGAAATGCCACACCCAGAGCCCTGGGGCAGGGGGTGGGGGGGGGCGATGTAGATGGCTGAAGTGGCCTTGATGTAAAGAAGAGGTCTGGCCGGCAGGCGCTTTGCTCCTGTCACTTCTTGCCCTGTGGGGTCTGATGCTCTGTGGCTTGTTCTCAGATTTTTCTGGGGGTGCCATACGTACATTTGGAGCTTTATGTGAAAGATCCTAATTTTTAAACATTGGCTCAAACATTGGATGGTCGTGTGAAATGTGAGTCAGAGGAACGGTCTCTGTTGGGAAATGATGGAATATAAAGTTGGATGGGTAGGAGGTATCCTTGGAAGTCGGCAGGAGGGCTTGGATTTGATGTGGAATTGTTGCCATCAGCCCACATCCTGCACTTTGGACACGGTGTGTTGTGCGAAGCGTTCTCCTCGCGCTTTAGCTCTCATTTAACTCTCAGCAATCCTGTCAGGTAGCACCGCCAGACGCAGCCTGGGAAGTGCGGTGTGGCTTGTTTTTCTTGGTTGGAGAGTTTTGGTTGAGCAAATGCGGAAGTGGGTGGGCAGAAGCCGTGGGTGGATCAGGTCCCTGACCTGGTCAGCTGCAGAGGCTGACGCTGTGTTCCCACTGAGCATGACAGTGTGCCCGGCTGCGTTTAAATTTAGTTTGCCAATTCAGTTATTACTGTACTTTAGAAATAGACCAAGAATAGAAGTAAGAGATGAGCAAATTTTTCTCAGTGGAGTCTTCTTGGTGTTTCACAGGCTATTTTGTTCTTATGGCAACTGAAGTGTTTTCCTATAGCTGTGTTGCTTCTCTGTGACTCGCTCGTCACTGTTGCAGAGATGTGTGTGTAGCTACTTCTGTGGAAACCTGGTCAGCTGGTATACCAATTGCTGTCTATACCAATTTTACTTGGGCTCAGCAGGGAAATTACAGCATTGATGGTGAATGAAAGAGCCGTGTCAAGAGCCGTCCTTCACCTTGGCCAGATAATACTGGGTGAGAGAATCGTCCTGAGGGTTTAGTTTGCAGGAGGACACTTAGACCCAGGTTGACATCCCACACTGTATCTGTCCCTGATGTGCGATGTGTAGTATGTGACGTTCCCGAGATGACTGTCAGAGTGCGCTGTTTTCCCACTTGTAACATTGTCATCTGTAGAACGTGACTGGAGAGGGGGTGGAGGCGGATGTCGGTTGTGGGGTCGGCAGCTACCGTTTGCTGAACACCTGCTGTGTTCTCTGGACTGAGCTGGATGCTGCTGTTTGTGTTACTTATCATTTCATCTAGTTTTCACAGTACCCCTCTAATGCACATAAGACCGCTGCACCTTTATTGGATGACGTAGACTCTGAGGAAGAAGCAGGGTGGTACTCTGGCCAACCAAGCAGCACCGGGAATCCTCCTGCCAGGATAACTGCTGGGTACCTTTAGGTCGAATCACTTACACTCAGAGCAGCAGATTAAATATGGTGTGTCTCCCTCATCTGTCTGTCTTTCCTGTTTGGGGGGAAAATGTTAAATAATTTAATTCATTTCTAATCTGAAATATTTTAAACATAGATGTATTATGGAAAATAATTTAAAGTTCACATAATTAAAAGAAAACCAGAGACTTGAAAGACGTTCCCTACTTTGAGCCGGGCCACTCAGACTGCGCAGTTCGCTCTGGTCCGCTGCTTCCTGGAGAGCCTGGAAGGCACCGACTTGCCCTCGCCAGGTTGTGCAGGACCCGCCTTGAGCCCCATCTACCTCCAAAGGCTGAGCAAGAGGCCATGATGGACTCCCATCATCCAGGATGGGCTGGGGAGTTGGTATTCTCATTAATTTTTTAATTTGAAGTGTGATGAGTTTCGAAATGGAAGTGGAGCCTGACTTTTCACTGAATTAGGGTCTGGTAAGGCATGGCCTCGTTAAAGCTATATTGACATGCTCCAAAAGCCGTTTGAGGCCCCTGCTATGCACTGTAATGCATAAGGAGCATTTGGGTTGGTTTTGTAGTCCTGGAAATTACTCCTTTGAATGTTTTTCTTTCATCACTGCTGTTTTTCTTCCATTTTCCCTGGGAATGACTGGTTTTCGTTTTGTTCTGTTTTTTGCTATTGTTTCTTTTTAACTGGATTTGCAAAATTCTTTCTTTCCTGTAAGAGTCCGTTCGTGCTCAGTGTACCGCTGTGGCTCTGAAGTTCACTTGTAGTTTTAGTTCCTTCCCAAAGCTGTAATTTTAGAAAACTCGCCCTGTCACGGGTCTCCTAGAAGCAGTGCATCCGGGCCTTTGTTCCGTGTAATCTGGGATCAGTCAGACGTTCTCAGAGCGGCTAACGCCTGGCCCGGTGCACAGCACTGCAGTCACTCCTCCCGTGCTCACCTGCCGCAAGTAATGACGGGGAGGTGGAGGTTGTATTTCTAAGACTGACGAGAATGTCCGGATTTGCCAGCAAACCCCATGAAGGGAACGGCCTCGCTTGGATGTCGGCGCCAGAGAAAATGTGGGGAACTTATCCGGTCCACCAGTGGTCCAATTACAGGGGAGTATTCAAGAGAAATGTGGCGCGTGCTTGGCAGCTAGGCCGAGGCAGCCCGATTATCAGGCCAGATCGGTTTTCTTTTCTCTTCTTTCCGCCGTCAGAGCTTTCGCTGCTTGGAATTATGATGCCTGCTCTGGTTGGTGGGAAATGACCTTCCTTTGCAAGATGGCCAGAACATCATTTTATTACATATTAATCCCATTGTGCTAGAGTGAAGCCAGCCGAAATCCGTTGTTAAGCTGTTTCAGAAATACCCACAGGTCCATGTGGGCCAAGAATCATATGACGTTAAGATGCTCCCTCGGCTTCCTAAACTTTGACCTTCTATGGCTTTACTCTGCACACTGGCAGCAAGAGCCAGAACTTCTCCGCTGGGGTGTATTTTGAGCCCTGAGCTGAGGAAGGAGTTTGTTTCTGCAAATTGGCACCCAGCAGGCCGCCGTCCTTTGCCTTTTTAAGAGCAAACCAAAAATAGACCTAAATCTGTTTAACCAAGTGGAAGAGTCTTTGCTTGCAAATGTTGGTCACTTCATTTTTATTTATTTATTTATTTTTACTATCTTAACCTGAGTTTTGGCAACTCAGGTTAAGTTTTTTTGTTTGTTTGTTTTTTAAATTTTGGCTGTGTTGGGTCTTCGTTTCTGTGCGAAGGCTTCCTCCAGTTGCGGCAAGCAGGGGCCACTCTTCATCGCGGTGCGTGGGCCTCTCACTGTCGTGGCCTCTCTTGTTGCGGAGCACAGGCTCCAGAGCGCAGGCTCAGTAGTTGTGGCTCACGGGCCTAGTTGCTGCGCGGCATGTGGGATCCTCCCAGACCAGGGCTCGAACCCGTGTCCCCTGCATTGGCAGGCAGATTCTCAACCACTGCACCACCAGGGAAGCCCTCGGTCACTTCATTTTTTAATTCCTTCTCTCTACTTTGCTTATAGCCACCCGAAGATCCAGCTCTTGGGTGTCCCCCAACGAGAGGGAAAGCACCCAGGCCATCCCGCCAGGCCTGTGGGTTAGAGGTGGAAGAGCCATTCTGATGCTCTGACCAGGGAGTTGAGAACTTGATCGGTTTTCATTTCAGCATAGTTCTTTTTAGCGAGCAGAATTGCCCTCCAGAAATAGAAAGGGCCAGCCTCAGCAGTGCCTGTACTTTGAACAGCTCACAGAAACTGTCCACCTGTAGGTAGTGCAAGGTCCGCAGGGAGATTACCACTTGACAGA